TTGTTTTCAGCGTTTCATTTTTTTGTTTGCTGGTGTTTTCTATTTTTGTTTGCATCGTTTCCATTTTTGTTTGCATCGTTTCTATTTTTCTTTGCATCGTTTCTATTTTTGTTTGCATCATTTCTTTTTTTTTTTTGCAGCGTTTCTTTTCTGTTTCCATGATTTCTTTTTTGTTTGCAGCGTTTCTTTTTTGTTTGCAGCATTTCTTTTTCTTTGCAGTGTGTCCCTTGTGGGCCATCGTATGTACCTGCGGTTGGTGACTTCAGCGACTGTGCCATAAATATCAAACAGTTTGCTTATATGGTTCCATACAGCGACGTGGTTACCAACTCTTATTTCGCTCAGCTGCTTAGTGTTAATATCATAGTGTTCTTTCTCATATCCCTTCTTTTTTTTTGGAGATCTTTGTCCGCGTCTGAAATAGCCTTTATATGTATTCAGGGGTAAATGCTCAGCGATGCGCGGGCAAGGAATCTTGTAGGGGTTTGCCAAATAACTTGACTGCGGGAGACAGTCTATCCTTTCGCGAAGATGTATTTCTATAGCTAAGGAGGCTTTCGCCAACTCGTCGGCATCAGGGGTTCGTCGATTTAGCGAGGCTGATATACGATAATTTTTTTTCATAGATTTTACCGTGGATTCAGCTTTGCCATTTGACTGTGGGTTGTAAGGCGAGCTATACTTGATGGTAAATTTCCAGTCGTTAGCGAACTGCTTGAAGTTAGCTGATGTAAACTGAGGACCGCCGTCACACACCAGAAGATATCAGGAGTCCCCATTGTGATAAATAGGTCTCGGAGCTTGTTTGCCCAGGACACAATAGTTGGCCAATCAGTTTTATAACAAACAACGATAAGATAATTGAGTCCATTCAAGTGCGCGAAGTCGGCTGCAATGTCTTGAAATGGGCGGCTTGGTTGTGGCTTCTGTATCAAAGGTTCTTTTTGATACATGGGAAGCCGGTCCTGACAAAACTTGCAATTATTAATGTTTTGCTCAATGTCACATCTATAGGCCAGTAGACGATCATTCTGGCTCGATCCTGGGCACGACGGAATCCTGGATGACCAAGATGTAGTTTCTGAAGCATCGCTTCGCGAAAGGCTTCTAGGATCAGGAGACGACACCCATAATGAGGTCGTGATCTAAGGAAAGATCGCTATGAACTCGCCAGTATTTCTTTAAGGTGAACGGGAGGCGATTTTTTTCCCGTACGAAACATTTGCATGAAACTTCACTCGGGCCATCTCGAATTGACTCGAGTGAGTACGATACGAGGAACAAGAGCAGACACCTCGCAATGTCGTGACGCTCGAGTTTTACTATTACTGCTCTTTCTATGTTTACCTACGGTAGGCCTATGAAATCTCACGGACTTATGGGATGTACGTGTGTTTACTATGACCTTCTTGGATGTTATTAAATGTTAGTATATTATCTACAACAACAACAGCTAGTACCTCCTGTTATAAAGTGTAGATAGGTACAGTAAGACCAAAGGGTAGAGAGAAAGTGGCCTAACAGGCTGAGGTCTTACCTAAGGCCCCTCCTTAAACTAGGCCTAGGGTCATAGGCTGACACAACATACTGACATTGACTGAAATTTTTGGGAAAAATAGGACAAAATTGAAGCATGAAATGAAAACTAGAGCGCATAAGAGAAATATTATTAAATAAATAATATATACCATTCCGGGGTTATTGAACTTTACATTTTTAAATACTGTGAAGCATATTGTGCTTAACAATAAAACAAGATCGACTACTCACATGTCTATTAGTATATTATTATGTTTTGTGGCATTGTAAAAAATTTTTGGAAATCCATTCTTATAAGCCACCAAATCATGCATTTCTACCAACTTTTAATACTGAAACTAAAAATCAGTACACCCTTATATGTACTGAAGTATCTATTAGTATTTACATGAATTGCATACTCGCAGCATTTAACTTTCTATTAGAAACTGCAAGTTGTACAGATAGTATGGTGCGCCTGTAACAAGGGAGCCTAGGCAATTTTATCTGAAGAGTTCATTGGGTGTGTGGTACAAAACTAAGTAATATAATGTATACAGTTGAACCGGGCTGTTTTAATTTTTTTCAAGCACAGATTTAAAATAAAAGGGATGAATTATAAATTATTATAAGCTCATAATCATTAACGAGGTAGGAAAGTAATTTAAAACTTTAAAGAAATAGGCCTATATTTTAAGGGGGTGCCAAATGATCGTAGTTTTTAAGAGTGCCTAATTTAATAGAGTGCCTTAACGTAAAAATACGGAAGATGATCACGGATGACAAAACTTTAATTTTTGGTAAAAAAAAATCATATTTTGGGGGTAAAAAATTGCATTTTTTTGGGAAAATATACGGTTTTCAATATTTGGTATTTTTGGCTACTATAGTACAAGACCTACCTGTACAAACAGGTTTAGAATCAATATGAACATTATTTAGTCAGAAATAAGCAAATAGACATGAAAATATATAAAGAAAATAAAATATTTGGACGAAAAATTTGCTTTTGTAACAATCTAGATTTTAACCTTGTGCATAGAATAATAATTGGATTACCTAGATGATATAAGTGCCAAATTCGGTACAGATATATTAGTATGGGCATACAATTTTGAAAAATTTATGGAGCCAAAACAAAACAAACATTAAATTTCTGGGGTAAAAAATTGAATTTTTGGTGTGAAAAATTGAATTTTTGGTGTGAAAAATTGAATTTTTGTTTGAGAAAAAATATAGATTTTAAAAAAGAGGTTTAGAATCTATATTTTCATTTTTTTTTACAAGTAAGCAAATAAGAATGAAATCAAATCAACATGCTATTCAAGAAAATCTCTGAAACAAAAACAAAAAAAACAAACCAATCTTTTGCTGGTCATTCTAGGTGAAAAAATCAGTTAGGTAGGCCTAGTTGATAGCCTAGAAAGTACTAGCCAAAAATATAACAACAGTCATGAGTATTACTTCAGTTAGCAATTCATCACCGGAAGCTCAGTTTGATGACCCGTTATCAGTTTCTTTTTAACATCTTCTGAATGTATGATTATCAAAACCATCCTCGTGAGTCTCTTCCATTACAAAATTATAAACAAAAATTCTCCCCGCGGACAATATTTTATTTTCAAACAGAACGCCACCACTTTGTAGCTAGAGGGAACAATAATAACGATTTCAGTTTTGAGACTAAGTTTACGATGTTGCTTTTTAATATTAAAATAATTTTAGGTCTTAATTGAAGTGGATAAAAAGGGAAATAAATGTAATTATTTATTTATTTAAAGCGAGTCGGAAAAGGAATAGAATTTCATTCTTAATTTGCATATTCAACACATATTTTCCAATTCACTGACAGCAACAATTTTAATATCAGACTCAATGCGTAAATTACATATATCGTCAATGTAAACTAGGGCCATACGCTACGTTGAAGCGTTCAGTTTCCTTGTGTTGCACTATTACGTAAAATCCAATGCTATTGTATAATTACATTACTGTAATATGTAGCTCTACTACGTCACTTAACAGCACTATTGGCCTGTGCTAATTGGTCATTCCTGTATAAATCACTGTTTTGAATCAAATATTGGTAGGGTAAACATATATGAACATATATCAACAAGTTATTTCCCTACACTGCCTTCTACACTAAGAAAAATATATACTGTAAGCCTAAAATCGCCTATGCAGATTCTAAATTATCAGGCCAAAGTTGTACACAAGAGCAGTGACAGATCCAGGAATTCAAAATAGAGGTGGGCCCAAGGGGGAACTTTAGCAATTGGAGGCTCAAGAGCACTGCAGCCGACGCTGGTTGGGGCTGAGGTAAGAAAAATTATGATTATGGCACCTCTGGATGGCCGGCAGTGGCACTCAGAATTTGAATGTAATTTTCTTTCTTCTTTTCCCCCATTTTTTAAAATAATTTTGAAAAAATAGGGGGGGGGGGGGCCGGCCCCTTTCAATCCACTACTGGTGATTGTGCTTTTCGTGCACATTTTTCCTCCGTCTCAATTTGGTTCTTATTTTTTAAGCACTTTCAGACTCAGTGTTCTTACAGAATGTTCTTATAAAAAAGTGTAATAGCCAACGTTAGCTTGGACCCACAGATATTAGAAGTTTTTTTTTAGATAGGTTGACAGACAGAAAAGAACTGTGATTCCAGATATCGAATCAACATATACAGCAATGGCTTTAGAAGCATTTAAACTAGTTAATCTACTTTTATCTGATAAAATTTCGACAATATTTTTGAATGTTATAGTCTTGCACAATGCCTCATTCATGAAACTACTTAGTACCGGGTATGCGATTTGACTCATGCGATGTCTGTGGTTCCTGTTTAGATTTATTAAGACACTTCTGCACTTTCGCCCAGTATCCGAGTGTATTTGGGTTTTTGAAACCATTTGGGCCGCCGTTGTGGATGCGAGCGAAGTCTTCACACGTTGGCTGATGACCAAGGCGGCTGGATATTGCGTAACGGGCCATGTAACCCTGCACAGCTCTCTCACTGCAATCGAAAGTTTTAGTACAATTTTTCCAGCCTGAAAAGAAGAAGGCATAATTACTAAAACTAAATAAAATATGCGCGTTGTGTCCTTTTAGCATGGCGAAAAGCATATTGGCGTGGTCCGTGGCTACTTTAGAAGCCATAGAGAGGGACTAAGTGCACATCATTTTA